CAGCTAGCATTTTCATTATTATAGCTTTTAGAAAGTGTTTTTTTTTTGTCTTTTAACATCAGGTAAACATTTTTGATCCTTGGAGCTTTTAGCTAGCAATCAACTCAATTTAGCTTTTAGCTTGTGTTTTCTCATTTAAGATTTTAATTAGCATTCTGCTTCTTATAGCTTTCAGCTAGCATTCTGCTCCTTATAGCTTTCAGCTAACATCCTGTTTCTTATAGCATTCAGCTAGCATCCTGTTTCTTATAGCATTCAGCTAGCATCCTGATTCTTATAGCATTCAGCTAGCATTCTGCTACTTATGGCTTTTAGATAACATCCTGCTCCTCATAGCTTTAGCTAGCGTTCATTAGAGACCAGTTCTTGGCCTCCCCTCGGCTCTGAAGGCGTTTTGATCCTGCAGGTTACTCACGGCGGTGTATCCCTGCACACACAGGATCTGCTCCAGCAGCGTGGTGAAGCAGGTGAAGACGGCCATGCCCGAGCCGAAGCACAGCAGCAGGACGAGGTAGGCTTTGTTCCTCAGTAACTGCAGGTGAAGCAGAATGAAGGACTTTTAATGAAAACTGAGCCGTGATTAAAACTGCAGCCTGCTGGGCTCAGAGTCCGACCCACTTTGTGTTCCTGGGTTTCCTTAAAGTCTGAACCAAACCTTTAACACGCTCCAGTCATGATTGACTTTGAGTGACAGTTTGAACATGGAACCAGCCAGACGGAGCTGAACCTTTCTGTCTTTTTACCAGTTTGATTCCCTGCATGAACGGCTCTGACCCGGAGGTCTCTGCGCTGGCTGACGGTGGGGTCGGGGGTCGGCTGCTCAGAACCCCCAGTGATGCGAGGAAACACACGATGAAGGACGGGACCGCATAGGCCTGCATCTAAAGGGAGAGAATTACAAAACTGGTGATAAATGACGGTTAGCTACTCAAATCAAAAACAATTAATGTTTTATTTTAGAGCCTTAATTATGAGCTAAAATTATGTTTGTAAATTCTTTTGGATGACATGAACTCACCAGCGTGGGGATTTGGGTCGGTGTTTTGGCGATCGCAGGAGAGATGAGGTTGGCGATGAGGATGCCCACGGGGTTCGCTGGTAAAAGACAAGAAAAAGAAGAAGAACAAGAAGAAGAAGAACAAGAAGTGTTCATTTTAGTTTCAGTCCAACGTTTAGACTCAGCATGTGCAGTTTAACACTTCCTGTTTTCACTTCCAGTCTTCTCAGCAGTTAAAAAAAAGCCCAAACTCGTTCAGTTCTGGGGCTTTAGCGTGACCTACACATGGAGGCGAGCATATTGGCCGACGCGCGCTGATGCTCGGGGAACCACAGCGCCGCCAGTTTAGTGGGGGTGAAAATGATCAGCGGCTGAGCGAGGGCGCTGAGAGTCTGGCCCAACATCACCACCAGGAACAAGAGGTCAGAACCGTGCAGCTTCGACGTGCCGAGGAAGCGCAGCAGCGCTCCGAGCATGTTCAGCCAGGCTCCCAGGACCAGCTGTGGAGGCAAAGGTCAAAAGGTCAAAGAGCAGAGTCAAGAGCCCACAGGAAGTTACGACCAAACGGAGATCCAGTTTGTACCGTGATCCGTAAGCCAAACGTGTCCAACAGCCACGTGGTCCCAAAGCTGAGGGGTATAGCAACCACCATGAAGACCACCGACAGCCAGTTGATGTCCTCCAGAGAGACTCTCAGGTACTGGGCTGACTGGGCTGCCACAGGTGCAAATGAGAGCCATATCTGGGAAGACAACACAGACCCAAATAAAAAAACCAGTTTGTAACCCGAGTCAACTGGTCTCGTGACACCTTTGGCTCGTTGGGGAATCCCAGGAACTTCCTCATGAACAAAACTCACTGAACAGGTTCGGATCAACTATCGACCACAGGTAAAGTTCTCCTGCTGCGTGGCACGTCGAGCAGAAGAACCACAGGCAGGGGCTGAAGGTCCGTCCTTTCAGATCTGGACGGTGCGTGTCCCAGAAGACCACGTCTGCTGCCAAGGACACACCCTGAACATCGCCTGTTTAGTGCCTAAATCAGAAACTGTCCTCTCAGTTTTAGCTGTTCATTTGTCAAAATGTTCGGCTCATCCAGGAGACGGGTGCTGGTCCTTTAGCTTTTATAACTTTTTTACTTTTGAAAACATTTAAAATGTATTTACAAACATCTTGCTCATAGAAGTACATTTAGATTTCTTCAGTTCCTCTGAAAATATTTGCTCAGTTTTTATCTACCGTTTTGCTACTTTTAGGGATTAGCTATCCTTGTACTTTTTATAGACTTTGGGTACTTGTTACTTTTAGCTAATATTTTTGCTTTTACCTTGAGTTTTGCTTCTATAGCTTTAACTACTCCGTTTCAGCCTCTTCAGCAAATTTAGTGACGTCATTAACGTTCAAACTTTTTAAAAACTTCAAGTTTTTCTTAAAATTATTCACACATAAACGGTAATAGAAACTATACCGACAACTTTTAAATATTTATCATAAATAAGTACGATAAGGTGATAGTGACATAAACTGTTTAAAAAAAATTAGCTTTTTGTGTTTGATAATTAACTGACATTAAAATAAATCAGTTCATGTAGCAGTTGAGTAATGTTTTGTTGTCTTTTTGAGAAGTCTTCAGTGAAGCTGTGTGAAAAAATAAATAAATAAATAAATAAACACTACATCGCTGCTGTAAGATTCCAATTAATCCTGAACACCAAAGGATGGTAAATGTTCGGCTGATTGACATCCAACTGGCTCTTCGGCTGTTATTTGCCACATCACGAAAGACTTTCCTCCTGCTGAGCTTCTTTTGTTTGTTAGAAAGAGCAAAGACGAGTCCCACAGGAGCTGCAGAAACATGGGAGTGGGGTTTGGCTCGGTTTGGACCAGTACACCCTCTGTCTCCCAAAGGCAGCATCCCATGGGGTTGAAGCTAAAAATCTACATTAAAGAACAAGTTTGATCGATTGAAAATTAATTATACATTTTAAAGCATATGGGATTAAATCTGGATTAGAAATTTAATACAACTGAAATGTTAAAAAAGTAAAAAACCAAAAGCATCAATTATGATTATGGCACAACTTGGCTTCCATACTGTCATATTATGATTATGGCACAACTTGGCTTCCATACATATTGTGTACCTGTGGATCATATCTCATCTGATGTAACAAACTGTAAAAAGTATATATATATATATATATAAATATATATATATATATATATATATATATATATTTATTTATTAAATCCTGTTCGGACTCACCGTGGCGTTGGAGCAGTTTAACAAACACAGCACCAGCAGAACCAACCACCTCCTCTTGTAAACTTTAAACGAAACCGGGCTCCTCCGTTGGGTGACGGTACTTCCATGAACCGCGGAGGAAACTGTCTGGACTGCCGCGAGCGAGTCCTCGCGGGTTTCCATGGCAACCTCAACGGTCACCGCCGAGCGACTTCAACATGTCCGGCGGTTGGAAGTTTTATTTCGGGGCTCGCTGACCGTAAAGTGAAGTTAGTTACGGAGAAGAACGAACTCCCGGCTCGTCAAACCTAGGATTTCTGATTCCGGATGTCAGCGCGTGTCTTGAAAAAAAAAGGAGGCGGGGCTAAAATATGAGAACCAATCAGAGACAAGAAACTGAAATAAAAGTTTGGGAAAAGAAATTTATATGTATATAAAAAATGCATACTTTCAACACAAATATCTGTAGATTTTCTTTATGTATTTCATAGAAATTATGTTCTCGTGTCTTTAACTAAGAAATTAGCTCTTTCATAACCTGTTACAACCATAAATAAAATAGTTTTGTTGTGTTTGGTTAACAAGTCCGTGATTTATCTCAAAGATCGTCTATTAATCAAAGATCGTCTATTCGTAGAATTACCCATTCCGCAGATTACGCACATTAAAAACTAAACCAGATAACGAAAGTGTTATGCCGTCATTTAAACATCTTTGTAATTTAACGGCTTTCAAAGTCTGAGAAAAAATAATCTCATTATTCGTTTATATGTATGGTATATTATATATAGTAGACATATACGGTATATATGTTTTATGTTTATGTTTTAAATGCTTTTTATTAATTCTTCTGTTATTTTTATTAGTGTATTGTATTTGTTTCTCTTTAATTTTACTCCCATTGATTGTTGTTGTTAAACACTTTGATAACAGGTTCTGTTTTAAATGTGCTCTATAAATAAAGTTGACTTGACTATATACAAGATTACCTAATGAAACAACTTCACTAGGGGAATAAATAAAGAATCCACTCATAAGCCAGCCTTCAATTACATTTTGAGGGAAAATAAAAAAGACATTGCACTGAATAAACCATACTGTTTAATTCAATTCAATTCAGTTTATTTATATAAAGCCAAATCACAACAGAAGTTATCTCAGGGTGCTGAACAACTTCATCCACATACATAAAAATTCAGTTAGTAAGATTATTTATCTAAGGTAGGTTATGGTAGGGTAGGGTTTATATGTTCCAAAATTGTATATGTCAACAACAGCTACAACAGCAACAGCAACATCAGCAGCAGCAGCAACAACAACAACAACAACAACAACAACAACAACAACAACAACAACAACAACA